CCAATGAGCATCCAGCATAATGTCGCCATATTGATTTACATAAGATGCTCATTGGTCCAGCAATTTTATGTAAAGGTAAATTTTCACGAGTTGCTCAAACCGGCTGTTTCAACGAAAAAGGATCACGTAGTTCAAATTAGCTGCGTTCAGCAGACTCAACAGTTTTGCAACCGTTTTATGATTGTCTGCTGAGATAGGACCATTCTTCTAGATCTAAAAGTATGATCCAATCAGCGCGAAGGAAACTTCCAACAGTTGCAAAACAAACGTTCTGCTGGACAATCATAAAACGGTTGCAAAACTGTTGAGTCTGCTGAACGCAGCCATCGACGAATATCAAGCGTCCATTTTAATCACGCGATCCTTTTTATCGCTGAAACAGCCGGTTTGAGCAGCTCGTGAAAATTTACCTTTAGGTCCTAGTTCGTCATATGATAGAATATATGTAGTACATGTTACTTGCGTATATATGTAATACGCGCGATATAATGTTATATCGTTTTGTAAGTCATTTTAAAAACGAAGTCAAAGTGATTCCGATTAATTTCAATATCGCGAGTGCTTAATTTTTTTCAAGACATAAGTGTCATGTCTCAATCGAATTCGACGATTGTTGAACGGAGCGGGTCTGAGTTACGCGTACATTACATCTGATGCAGAATATTGGTGTAAACTGTTTCTCTTGTTTAGGAAGCAAGTTAAAGCAGATGTTCCAGGAACATGCGTTAATTGTTGAAACGTGAATCGTACCAATTACATTATACTGGTTATACATTGAAAGCCACATTTCAATCATGGAGGTTATCGATATCAATTAATGTTAATGGAATTATATATACGACTAATGAAAATTGGATAGAGTTGATAAATTTATTTAGTGAAAACACGAGTTGGAAACACATTGTGGTATCATGGAGAAATTTATGATCGACTTAGACAAAGTCCTTAATGACTTCGAATTCAACGAAGGTATACATTTTCGAAGAAAATCAATTTAAATAAGTTGTTGGAGAATCCTTTGTATATTTGAAATTTTCAAGTTTATACTTTAAAATATACTATTTTCTATGTTTTTCTGTGTTTAAATAGAATTTGTATTTCAATAAAAAATATACTTTTCCTCTATTTTTTAAAATGAGAAATTATATACTAGAAACTTGAAGTTTAATCTTTAGAGGGGATAAGAAGGTCTATTTTTTAAATCATGTAGCTTTTATGTAAGATTTATTATAATTCATTCTATTCCATGTCTCAGAATATAACACTGTTTCATTATAATGATTTTCTATAATGATAATATCAATATTTAACAGTTGACAAATCTTTCAAAGACTTATTGTAAGAGGTTTTTGGGTTTGCATTATATTCAAATTTGATACAAAAATTTAAAATTGAAAATGACAGATCTAATATGGTGACTTTCCAATTGCAAAAATAAATTATAAAACTAAAGATGTTTTCGGGTACGGTCAATGTAATATTATAAATGCTCTAAAGCGTTTTTTGACTGTGATCAATTCGTAAAATTATCTCTTCTAATTGGTCAACCAAATGCTTTGAAGCATTTATAGTGAGACTTTAGCATTGTTCATTTTGTCTCTCGGGAGTTGCTCGGGGTCGCTCCGAATAAACCCAGTATACTTGAAACGTAGGATTCACACTACGTACGACATTCGTCATATGTAGTGTGAATCCTACGTTTCAAGTATACTGGGTTTATTCGGAGCGACCCTGAGCAGCTCCCGAGAAACAAAACGAACAATGCTTTTGATCGCAGCCTTTGACATTGAAAAATAAAGCCCCAGACACATGCGAGGGAATAGCAGTAGCGATAGAAATAACACGATTTGGTAAATGTTCAGAAAAGTGGTACCATCCCCAATGACCTTGACCTTGATATATGTTGTCAAGGTCATGGCTCTGAGTGACCCTCCGACAGGTTTTAGGTGTTCGGACGACGATCGCTGTTCGTTAAAAAGTTATTAACAAAAAAAGTTTGAAAACTGATGTCTCGTTTTAACCATATGAAACAAAAAAATCTCTGCTTTAAAATAGATTTCCTGGGTCATGACCTTGACAACATATGTCAAGGTCAAGGTCATTGGGGATGGCGCCTCTTTTCTGAACATTTACCCACGATTTCAACCTATCAGAAATCGGATATACCAAAATATACAGTTTCTGATAGATAATTTCTATCGCTATTCCCTCGTATTGTGTGGGGCTTAATAGCGTTTTCCACTGAGAGAGCTAGTGCAACACTAGCGCTCATTCGAGTGCAATTATATTATTCCATTGTTAAATGGAATGTTAATTAAAATTAGTTCATGTATTTTCACTATTTTCAGTGTTTAATGTTTCACCGACAAAATTGATGCAAAAAAGTTGCACTGAGTCCAACTTTTTCTCTACCGTCTTTAAAGACCAGTGCAAGTTAAAATTGACTATGGCTGCGTTCAGCAAAGAAAACTAATCAGTTAGCGCTTAGTGATTCTTAAATATAATTGGTTCCTACACTTACAAAGGAATGACGCGAGGTGTTTTTCCTCGATTGCTCTGAATTTTTGCTAGTAAATTGGGTATCAAAAACAAATTGACACATATTTTGCCATTTGCACAGACACTCAATAGTTTAAGATATAAAATTGGTCGGATTACACTCTTAAAACTCTAGATCGCCGGTTTAAATGTCAGTAGTGATATTTTTTTTAAATGTTAGTATGTTTTACAATTTATAAATAATTTCTAAAAGCATTTAGAAAATTTAAAAATACTTATAAACATTTTAGAAAAATTTAGAAACATTTAGAAAAAAGTGACATTAATCGAATTAATATATAAATTGTTTTTGGATGAAAAATCCTTTAAAATTATTTTTTGTTTTTCTGATTAAAAATGACGTGAAAGACGTATTTTTTCTACAGGTAAAGTTTTAAAAAATGTAAAAAAGTAAAAAAATGTCACTACTTAGATTTGAACCAGCGATCTAGAGTTTTAAGGCCCAGTTCCACAACTCACAGTTAACTCTTAATCGAGGTCCAACTTGTTTCTTATCTCTTTCCAATTCTAGAATTGGAAAGAGACAATGAATAAGTTGAACCTCGCGGTTAAGAGTTAACCCTGAGTTGTGGAATTGGGCCTCAGAGTGTCCGACCAGTTTCATAACTTAATATCTCTTAAACTATTGAGTGTCTGAGCAAATGGCAAAATACGTGACGATTTTTTTTCGATGCCCAACCTATTGGCAAAAATTCAGAGCAATCGAAGAAAAATACCTCGCGTTGTTCCCTTGTTAGATCCAGTGAAGAATTAAAGGTAAGAATCAATCATATTAAAGAATCTCTAAGTGCTAACTGATTATTTTTTTCTGCTGAACGCAGTCAATGTTTACACGACTCGATTTACGCCTAAGTTATAACATCGATGTTATGAAACTGTCAATCATACTACTGTCAATCATACAACTGCCAATCATACAACTGCCAATCATAGCTATTCCTTTGAAGAACGACTGATTGGCCAATTTCCTAACATCGATGTTGTAACTTCGGCGTAAATCGAGCTCAAAGACAGAGAATGGTAATGGATTGCGCGATCCGTATCTAACAAGGGAAGTTTCACAACTGTCCGGAACCGATTTGATTCTCCATGAAGTATGTTGTTAAACACGAACATCTAAGAGACACGTATTTTTTTATACGTGCGTTAACTCATGTTTAAGGGGTGAAATACCTCTTTGAAAAATATTTCTATTTTGAGCCGAATACCGTCGGAAGTGTAAAAGATGGAAAAAAATTTTTATGAGCCAATGTACCCCATTCCTGCATCTGATTTTGATTGTTTTATTATATAATAACATATTACCATTGTTACACAAAATAACGTGTTGTATACTAACAAACACTTTTTTTTAACTAATAATACTTAGATTTCCTTTTTTAAGCCGAAAGACATTCATACGAAATTATTAGGCGAGCGGTTTTACCCCTAAAAAGTCGCTTAGAAAATGCATTAACCGACCAATCGTCTGACTGAACGTTCTACAGACTGAAAATGAATTCGATTTCTTATATTATTCTGCGAAAAAATATCTATATACACTTTATTTTTTTAAGTGGTCGTTGAAAAGTTATAAACAATTTTTTAAAAAAATCTAAACTTCGAATAAAAGTTCCGAAAAAATTACATAAGTTTAATTAGATCACAATGAACATTTGTTGTCTCTTAGACTTTTTTTTTTCAAAAGCAGTAGTTTTCAAGATAAGAAAATTTGATTTATAGTCAAAATTTGAAAAATGACTACCTTTACGATTTTTTTTCTCGCAAACTAAGTCTTCCCTACCTTAAGTAAGAGCTAGTACGGACAGAGCGTGAATGAGGTAAAACCGGAAATGAGTTTGTGTAATAATCTGCTACACAGCCAGGCATTCTAACTTGACAAATATGTCTTCATTTCATTAAAATGATATATAATTTCAATGCGATCCTTCACCATTCATTTATTCTTTTCATTTATATTTTATCTTAAAAAACAACGATTTTAAAACATTTGTTCAACATAGTTATTTAATCGGTTCTTAAAAAACGTTTTTAAAATAACTTTAAGCGGTTTTAAACAAAAATAACCATTCCTAAACATTTTATAAATGTTGTTGTTCTATTTGGGATATTAAATATATTATATTATTCCAATTAATTTCATAAACAATAATATTGTTTTCAGTTTCAGTGTATGTAGTAATTCTATGCAATAATATACACATTTTGAGTTTTTTTTTTAAATTTTAAAATTTAAGAAAAGTTAATAAAAAAGATTTTTGTAAGAAATAAATAAATCAGAATGTAAGTAATAAATAAATCAGAATATTATTATAAAATGAATAATTGAGTGATATGTGTGTTCCACTGAACCACACTAAATCTGCAATATTACTGCACTAGTGTAGATTTCATTGAAACCTAGCATGATGCTGGTGCTGTACCAGCACTCAGCTAGTGCTGAGTTTTCTCAGTGGAAAACGCTATAATACATTAAAAAGTATATATTAATCTTTAAGAACGTATGAAATAAAACAAATCAAATAAAATGTACGCAATACACAAGCGCGAATAAGGTTTATTAGTATACGTACATAAAGATGAAGCAGAAATTTTTCTTTGCAAGCATACATTGTCACTCGTAGTCACCTGGCTACTTTTAGTATTATCGGCTTTCTACAATAAAGACCTTGCCACATAGAAAAACTCAAGACATAAAACTTAGGTAGTAAGGGAATCAACATGTAAGGTCACTTTTTCAAAATTTGAAAAAAATAAGCAGAGTTCTGATTGTCCTCTAGAGAGAAGAGTTCTAAAGTTCTCTATCAGCTTTAGAAAGGATTCCGTCTATTAAAGTGAAACAATATTTAAAGTATCAAGGGAGCCAACTTCACGATTCCGAATCTTTAAAGGACTATAATAACTTCTTTATTTTAATTCTAATTCTTTTATTTTAGCGTTTCGATCCGTATAGGATAATCGTTGGAACTTTTGGAGGGGGAAAGGGGCTACCAGAATTAAGCGGGGAATCCTATTATTTTAGCTAAAAACATGACAAAATTTGGGAATTTTTTTTTTAAGAAACTAGCAATTCAATTCATGTAAAATTTATACCATGTTTTTATTCATGTTTGAACAACTTACAGTTTTTTTTTTATTACATTCAATTGATAAATGTAAAAGTTATTAATAATCGAATATCACGTCGCGTGAAAATTCGTCGTCCACTGGTGTGCACGATATTAATCTTCCAGATAATCTGAAATAGAAAGATCAAACAACGATTTACTTTATACATATATAGTTTCAGTTTGATGAACAAAAATTAAAAAAAAAAAAGAATTATTGCGGAAATGGTGAATTTTCAAATCAGCACCATGATCTTTAGTGCTGATCATAGTGCTGATTTGAAAATTCACCATTTCCGCAATAATTCTTTTTTTTTTTAATTTTTGTTCATCAAACTGAAACTATATATGTATAAAGTAAATCGTTGTTTGATCTTTCTATTTCAGATTATCTGGAAGATTAATATCGTGCACACCAGTGGACGACGAATTTTTACGCGACGTGATATTCGATTATTAATAACTTTTACATTTATCAATTGAATGTAATAAAAAAAAAAACTGTAAGTTGTTCAAACATGAATAAAAACATGGTATAAATTTTACATGAATTGAATTGCTAGTTTCTTAAAAAAAAAATTCTCAAATTTTGTCATATTTTTAGCTAAATAGTTTTCGAATTTTTCTAAATCTACACAGATCGAACATTTTTTTTTCGGAAATCCGATATTCTGATACGAGTTGTAGCCCCGAAGAATTCTAAGGATTATTAAGAACCTGTGCGCTGAAATCGATAACTGAAGAGCTTTAGAACTCTGAAGTCTCCGTTTTCGGAGACTTTAGTGTTCTAAATTCTTTTACTTTAAACTAAAGTCTTGGCACATATATAAACTTAAGACATAAGATTTAAGCAGTAAATCCTGATCTACAATAGGTGTTTTAAGCCTTAAGCCATAAGAAATTGACCAATTACAATCAAATCCGAGGAGAATAATCGACTGTGATTCGCCCATTTCTTATGACTTAAGGCTTAAAATCCTATTGTAGGATCCGAGGTAAGGAAATCATTATGGATTCGCTATTACTTACGTTATGGTTTTACGGTCTTGTGATTGGTTAATTCATTTGCTGCTTAAGTCTTACATCTTAAGTTTTTTGGGCTAGGTCCACAACCTTGCTTTAGGCTAGGTCCACAACTTTGCTTTAAGAGGCTATAAATCGTAGTTTTAAGTTGTAAATGATGATATATCGGCCACAGAACTTATGCTTTTAGGCCATAAGAATTGGGTTTTGCTCAATTCGCTTAAATCTAATGGTTAAAGTCTAAGTCCGGATCTACAATAGGTGTTTTAAGTTTTAAGTCGTAAGAAATTGACCAATTACAATCGAATTCGAGGAGAATAATCGACTATGATTTGTCCATTTCTTATGGCTTAAGGCTTAAAACCCTATTGTAGATCCGGGGTAAAGGCTATGCAAAAACAGTTAAAAAAAACAGAAATTATTGCCACTTAATCTCTTTCGACTTTTTGACTTAAGGCTCTTATGTGCCTAGCCTTATGTGCCATGGCTTTTAGTCACTAGAACTTTGTTTTGCGGTCGCAGCTATTTTTTGATCATTAAGGATAATTATTAGAACTCTTTGGGAGGGGGGAGGAGAGGAGCTATCAAAACTTTGATTTCTAATAAAAATAAAAAAAAAATTTTTTTATCTATTTTTGTATATCGGAAATTGGTATTTTTTTAGAGTTCTGGTAGCTACCCAAAGAGTTCTATTGATTATCCTATATGACAGGGTTGGCAAAAATCTAATTTTTTCAGAAAAACCCAAATTTTTGGGGTTTTTGTAGGTTTTTGTAGTTTGTGAGTTTAGAGTTCTATGACTCTAGTACAGCCATCTATTGTTTTAAAAGCGTAGTGTCTGTTCGACAAAAACGTAACCTTAAAAAGTCATCTAACAGATACTACCAGGATTTAGGACCAGGATTTTGTTAATATCATTTATGTTGGTTCTTAAATCAGGCTGGTGATAGTCTACCTTACAATACTATTGCAATTATTAAGCGTAATATTATCTATATTTTTTTCGTAGACTGATATAATTATTCAGTTATATTATATACAATATATTATGTAACTTATATAACTTATATATGTATTATGAGTTTAATAAATTGATAATTGAGTGAAAAATATATTACTTTTATCGAGTTTTTGTTTAAAAATGCGAAAATATATTAATATTAAATAAAACAATGAAATTTGACATGCATCTGGATTTTTGTAATTTGTACTTGGATTTTTGTAAACTGGATTTTTCTGTGTCAACTCTACTATATGGATCGAAACGCTAAGATAAAAGATAAAAAAGGTATAGCCATTCAAAGTTTCGGAATCGGGAAGTTGCCTCTTCCCCTCCCCCCCCCCGATATTTCAAGTGGTGTTTTCACTTCTTTAATTGACGAAACTTTTTCTAAATTTGATAGAGAACAGTAGAACTTTTTGGGGGATAATCAGAACTCTGCTTATTTTTTTTTAATTTTGAAAAAGTGGGGCTAGCTTCACAGAGGTCATGTAAGGGCTATAGAGGGCCCGCATATATTTTCCGTAAGTCCAGATCTACAATAGGTGTCTTAAGCTTTAAGCCGTAAGAAATTGACCAATTATAATCGAATTCGAGGCGAACAATCGACTATGATTCGTCCATTTCTTATGGCTTAAGGTTTAAAACACCTATTGTAGATCTGGATTTATGGTTACTGTTACAGAAATTTTGTCTGGGGCAGCCTTAAAAACTTATTGTAGATCCGGGCTACTAGTAAGACGTACCGTACGAGTTGGTCAATCAGAGCTGAAAGTTTTTAAAAAAAAGTTCTTGACTGATTAGCTAATTCTTACGGTACGTCTTACAATTACTATTATGGAAAATGTGTTCGGGTCCCTATAGTACATAATAAAACTTAAGAGTAAGAGACGTAAGTAGTAAGGAAGTCAATATGTTGGATTTGTTATTGCTTACATTAGTAAGAGTGGTCTTATGGTCTCTACTATGATGGCCAATTCGATTACTGTTTAAATTTTACGTCTGAAGTTTTTCTATGTGTCATGAGGCCTGTTCTTTTTGGCTGAACTTTTGCACCAGTTCATCTTTCTTTCTCTTCTTTCCTCCTGGAGAGAAAAGGAAGAAAGATGAACTAGTGCAAAAGTTCAGCTAAAAAGAACAGACCTATTGCCATGGCACAGAAAAAAATTAAGTATTAAAACGTAAACAGTAACATATAATTGGCCAATTATAGTAGGGACGTAAGGGCCCTCATCTATACAGTGAAATTTTTAGAATTAACATGACCCGCTTCTGATTATCGCGAAAAAATCCTTCGAGGGCGAATAATGTCATTCCAACTGTTTTAAAGTCGAGGTTTCTCCCTTTAAAATATCCAGAAAAATTTGCAGGTTTCAAAGTAATCCCCTAATTGTTGTGCGTAGTGTATATTGCAGATAAACTGTTTTGAATAAAAATTTTAATTAATAATATAAAATTTTATACGATTATTTTTTCAGATTGCGCAGAGCAAATAGCGTCAGTCGCAACTTCTACGATCAAAGCTTTAGCTGTGGAGAAGCATACTAATGAATCTGTGGTTCCGAAAATATGTAACTTTAATTCTGAGAAAGGCGTAACAACTGATGTAGTACCGTCTCTTGAAGACTGTAGAGATACTCAACCAACAGACATTGACTCCAAATATTCATTAACTGAAAAGGAAATAGTGTTTATATCGGAGAGTAGAGAATCCGTAAATAATTTCTATACACATGATCGTATCAATGATACTTCAATTGGACAGAAATCATGTGTTCATACTTATACTGATTTTGATGAAGTATCTTCAACGATGTATAATACATCACAAAACTTAATGCAGGAACAACAAAATGCAAGTAGTGATTCGAAAGATGGTGATAGATATGACAAAAAATTAAATCAACCAAATTTCAAGCCTAGCATCAGCAATGTGTTTAATAGTTTGAACGAATATATTAATGCTCCTACTGGAAGTTTAAATTATGTTGAGCCTATATTAGACAAAGACGATTTACTTGAAAGATCGACAGATGACGTAGTGGAGAAAGATTTTAAATCGAACAGAGATGTAGCCATTAATGAACTTTCTTCAGTTTCAACGGAGAAAGGAATAATTAATGTAATTGACAAAAATATTTTGGACCATAAAAATATTTTACCGGTGGAATTAAGTAAGTTCGTCAAAGTTGAAATTAATAACAAACAGGATAATATTATGTTTCATCATCCTATTTCAATACAGTCTGAAGAAAATAATTCTATAATTTCTGTACCAAACACGGCCATCTCGAATCATAATGATGCGGAATTGTCTAGTAACAAAGGTGATGTAGATAAAAAGGTCATAGCTAATGATACATTTAAAGAAAATTCTGATAGTATTATTAGCAAACGAAAGCAGTTAGACTTGGATAGGCGAAATTCCATCGACAAATATACATTTGTTGAAAATAAAGAAAGCATAGTGGAGACTAAAAAGTTGGATAAAAATATAACAAGCAGCGAAATTCAAGATAATGATATAGAAACAACTAAAAGTGATATCTTCTCTAATGTACGTATGGTACGTACAATTGATATCAGCGACGACTTTTCTGAAGAAGAATTAAATCAGTATTTATTAGAGTTAGAGAAAGAAGAAAGATCTAAGACGGACAATATATCACTTTCGGATAATACCTGGTTGTCACAATCATATGAATTGAGAAGAGATAGAGAAAAGAATGTCAGTCATTGTCAACGAGATAACGAAGATGTTAATGAAGCGCCGATATTCGAGAAAATTATGATAGGCGAACTTCCAAAAATATCACAGGAGGAATTTCACAAGACGAAAAAATTTCCTATAATTGATTATAACACGAATATATGTAATGAAAATATAGTCGACGTAAAATGTAATAATACAGTAAAATTTGATTTAAAAAATAATCAACTAAAATATACAAAAAGTAATGAGCTAGATAAGACGACAAAAGATAACCATGTAACTGAAATAATCGGTCAAGATGTAGCAATACAAGAGAGTACCTTACAACCTACATATATCGCTGTTCAAGAGAAAATTTCATCGAAATTTGAAAATATTGGAGAACAGTTGTGTAGTAATAATATGGTACAGAAATTACAACAAGGTTCTAACAGAGACATTCTATCACAAGATTACAACAGCGATACTTTATTAAATTTATCAGAAAACAAAGGTCGTGAAAAGAAAGTATACTGTCAAGATATTACTGAGAATAATAAAGATGTTTTTGTGGTACATGAGACCAGCGTACATGACAATGAGAACATATCCAAGATGGAAACTGTATCTAAAATTAGTGATACTCATACAAGAGGAAATGATCAAGAATCCGAAAAACCAATCCGTCCTCAGACATTAGATATTGTATTGACGCATGATAAAAATGATTCCCATACATTCGGTACGTTGTTTTAGTTTTACTTTTAAATTTTCTTTATTATATAAATTGCTCAATATTTGAACGGTTAAATTTAATATACTGGATGTCCCGCATTTGGAGTACAGAACATGATACTACAGGGGTGATACTTTATGCTAAAACAAACAACTTTTTCCTTTAGCAAAATTGCGTCCGATAAATAATTTTTGCGCTTATTTATTAACTTCAACCTGTTCTTCTGCAAAAACTACTTGTCAGACGCAATTTTGCAAAAGGAAAAAATTGTTTCTTTTAGCATAAAGTATCATGTCCTGTACTCCGAATGCGAGAATTTCGGGATATATATACACCCTGTATATATATTCTATGTGTACTGTGTACGAATAAGAAAATGTTATATACATATGTATATGTATATTATACATCAGAAGCTTTATGTAGAAATTATAAAGATATTTTAAAAATATAAAACGATTAAAAGGGCCTAACGGAATAAGTATGGTGAAAATGCCCCCACGGCTTTTTGATCTTTTTTTCTAAAGTAATTTATATAAAAAGACGCTTACATATCAAATTTTAGATTTCTATATGGAGACGTAATCAAGTTAGAGCGAAAAAACTATTTTTTTACAATTTTCCGATTTTAATTTAGTAAAATATCGAATAAAATTCTGAAAAAATTCTGAAAAGTCAATTACACCTAGATATCAATGAGGATATTTTTTTTTCTTTTTGGTGCGAATTTCAATTCTAATAAAATGAAAATAACTTTTAAACATTGTTTTCATCCTGACTATGTTGATTTATCACCTTAAAAACAATTGCATATGAACTTCTCATTTTATATGGAATTTTATAGATAAATAAAATATTAGAGAGATGATAAAAATTGTTTGTGTCACTCATTTTTTCAAAAAATTAACGAGAAAATGTAAATTTAATTTTTTTAATGTGCCCCACCTTTTGAAAAAAATCTGAACAAAATATATTTTATAGGAAGTTGAACAAAGATTCACGTGCAATTTTTTTTAAGGTGGTAGATCAACGTAATTAGGGTAAAAAAATGTTTAAAAGTTATTTTCATTTTTTTAAAATCGAAATTCGCACCAAAAAAGAATGTTAAAAAATATCCTCTTTGATATCTTGGTGTAATTGATTTTTCAGAAATTTTCCAGAATTTTATTTGATTTTTTACTAAATTAAAATCGAAAAATTGTAAAACAAAATCGTTTTTTTGCTTTAACTTGGTCACGTCTCCATATAGAATCTAAAATTTGATATGTAAGCGTTTTTTTATATAAATTCACTTAGAAAAAAAGTTAACTCAAAAAGTCGTGGGGGCATTTTCATTATACTTATTCCGCTAGGCCTTTTTATAACTATAATCAGAAAATCCATATTATTCAAGAAAAAATTTAGTCGACACAAACGAAAAGTAACATAACATCAACGTTGTAACTTCGCATTTTGTCAACAATATAAATGTAATATAACACATGGGGTGTTGTATAAAACCTTGTCTACAATTGCATACGCGTAATTGTAAGTGATTGTAGCTGTATGAATTGATCCATATTCTCATATTCGATTGTGATTGGTTAATTCTTACAATTACATTTACGCAATTGCAGAATGAGTTTAAGAGTTGGAGAGTCTATGGCTGCGTTCAGCAGAGAAAACTAATTAGCGCCTGATTCTTTAATATGTGATTCTTTAATATGATTCTTTAATATGATTATTTCAATATGGTTCTTGCCTTTATCTCTTCGCTGGATCTAAGTGTAGGAATCAATCATATTAAAGAATCATTAATCAGCCATTGGCTGTGTTCAGCAGAATGTTTATTTTATAATTGTTGGAAGTTTTCTTTGCTGATTGGATTATACTTTTAGATCCAGAAAAATGGTCCTGTATCAGCATACAATCATAAAACGGTTACAAAACTGTCACGTTCTGCTGAACACACCCTATAGAGACCTTTAGTTGGAGACGAACTTCTTTATGCGACAGAAATAATGGTTGAAATAGCGTTTTAATTGCGATATTTGTAATCAGGAAAGTTACCTGAGGGTTCATACAGAGCGATCTTTTTTAAAAAAGGCAAAATAGAAATTCATTCTGATATCTTAATTGATGTGTATTATAGTGCAGTTGAAGTGTACATAATTAAATTCCATGTAATTCGGACTTTAATTGTGTGCAAACTTACCTTTTTAAAAAAAAGGTAAAAAAAGCGCTAAGCGTGCATGCTTCTCGAATGGAAACCACCATTTGGGCCGGTTTCACCAACGTCAATTACTTAATCGGCCGTGGAACTGATGACTAATTGCGTTTGCTGTTTGATGAAATTTTTTGTATATGATACATTCCAACCCAAGTTATAATGGCTTTATTCCCCTTCAAAAATTATTACATGAAAATCATTCTATCACAAAATTTACTAAATCTAATGATATATGTATCATCTGTATAAAAGATTTGATATCAACAATTGTGGCGCCAAGTTAAATTCTGTTAATGTTCTTATTAAATCTAATGATATATGTATCATCTGTATAAAAGATTTGATATCAACAATTGTGGCGCCAAGTTAAATTCTGTTAATTTAATATCACAAAATTTACTAAATCTAATAATGTATATGTTTCATCTGTATAAAAGATTTGATATCAACAATTGTGGCGCCAAGTTAAATTCTGTTAATTTAATTAAATTTATCAAATTATT